AGTTCTAGTTGCGTATTTCCAAAATCAGATCAATATCCCTAAAATATATCTAAAATGTTTTCTCTATGCGCTGGAATCCCTTGTGATCCATCTCTTTCTTGCTCAGTCTTTCCCACCTGCTTGCATTTGTCCTCTGCCGCCTTCTTGTCTGTCTCTGCCTGCTCGGCCCGGTCGATGGCATTCTCCTTGTCCAGTTTCAGCATTTGCATCTTCTTCTTGATGGCCTCCATGGCGGCTGCTCGGCTGGATTTTCTCCCTCTGAGATGTTCAAACGCACCGTTAAAAGTTTGGGCTCTCGCTGAGATGTAGGAGATTCAGCCTCGCTTGCAGTGCAGGAGAAAGCTCGAGCTGAACAAAGCTGCGGAGAAAGCGAGAAAGCAAGAGAGGCAGAAACAGAAAAGGAGAGACAGATGGAAGGAGACAGAAAGAGCTGTGAACAGAGATGGAGAGTCAAGCCCTATAAGGATGGTTATTTAAACTTCAACAGAACCTGCCTCCAGTCTCCACTCACCACCCCTATCGCCATCCTCCTCCCATGTTTCCCCCTCCCTCCCTACATCCATCACTTTTCTCCATCCTCTCACTCTCTGCCCATTCCTCTCTTCATTCAGCCACTCACCACTCTGCGTCCACTCCATCCTTACTCCCTGGTTATCACTCTCTTAGACACACACTCCACCCTATCAAACCACCCATCCAAGCTCGCTCTCAGGAATGGTCTGACTGCTCTTCAGCCGCGGCCAATCTCCTTATTTGGGTTGCTATGTTTTCACAAAGAGACGGAGATCAGACGAGCAGGTCCTGTTTCCACATTTAACCCCCTGTCAATGGCTACAAGTCCTGCTGGCACACAGCATCTCACACTCAAAGCCTTAGAGAGTGCGTATATAAGACAAACAGAGTAGCAAAGTAGAAGGAGACAGGTAGAAAGGAGACTATAGAAAGGACGTTTCCATGATGTGATCGCTCTATTAAGCCATTTAAAGTGAAGGTGTTGGCTTTTCCCAATTCATTACTGTGTCAAGAAGACTAAAAGAGAATAGAGGCATTGATGTGGTCTGAAAGGAGACATAAAGGAAACTCTTTTTTCAGAGATTAGTTTGTGCCACAGTAGTACAGGGTAGTTTGATGATTCAGCCTTCACATGTTGCCTTTGTCAGAGTATCATAAAGCTGTTTTGGTTTTATAACTCTACGATAATTTCCCTGCTGCACTTCTTCAAGTGTGATCATCTGCGTGACGATGGATTACGACATGCTTTCTGAAACTTGAGCTCTGCGTTCTGTGTACCTGATACTTCAGTTTGATGACTGAGGGACGAAATCAGACTGAGAGATTGTGCAAACAATGGAGACCAGTGTC